GGCATCACCACACACCCAGCTGTGGCATCCTTGGACACTCAGCTGTGGCATCTCCAGGCACTTGGCCATGGGCACCCACCTCTGGGATCCACCACCATGGTATCCCCAGGCACTTGGCCCTGCCATCTTGGCTGTGCCATCCCCAGGCACCTGGCCGTGGGCACCCGCCTCTGGCATCCCCAGGCCGTGGTATCCCCAGGCACTTGGCCCTGACATCTCGGGGCTGTGCCATCCCTGGACATCCATCTCTCCCCTCCCTGGGCCACCTGGATGGGCGATTGCAGGGCACCCAGCTGTGCCATCCTTGGGCCACCTGGCTGTGCCATCCCTGGGCATCCATCTCTCCCATCCCTGGGCCACCTGGATGGGTGATTGCAGGGCACCCAGCTGTGCCATCCTTGGGCCACCTGGCTGTGCCATCCCTGGGCATCAAGCCGTGCCATCCCTGGGGCACCCGGCCACGCCATCTCTGGGGCTCTCAGCTGTGCCACCCCCAGGCACCTGGCCGTGCCATCCCTGGGCACCCATCTCCAATCTGGGTGTTCTCCCCGCGCTGTCCCGCTCTCGGGGGTGCACACACGTGATACCCGGGGAGCCACCCGTGCCCATCACCACCCCACGAGCCTGCCCACCCCAGGGCGGTGGGCAGTGGTTCTGGCACCGTGCCAGCCTCACCCCATCCCCCCCATGGCACCCCGTGTCTTCACAGGGAGTACGGGACCATCGACGATGTGGACATCGACCTCCACGTGAACATCAGCTTCCTCGATGTGAGTCCCCGGGGTGCCCCCCGGCGCCATTGACACAGGGAGGGTGGGGACACGCGCCCGGGCACCCCCCAAAATTTCCCTCCCCACCTGGGGGTCTCCCCTGGCCCTGCCAAATGACGGCTTTCCCTCGGCAGGAGGAGGTGGCGACGGCCTGGAAGGTGCTGCGGACGGAGCCCATCGTCCTCCGCCTGCGCTTCTCCCTCTCCCAGTACCTCGATGGCCCCGGTGAGTGGGGACAGGGCAGGACGCGGTGTCCCCCACGTGCCCTCGGAAGGGGGACGGGGGTGACACCATCAGCTTGTGTCCTCTCTCTCTGCAGAACCGTCCATCGAGGTTTTCCAGCCGTCCAACAAGGAGGGCTTCGGGCTGGGTCTGCAGCTGAAGAAGTAAGAGCCAAAACACAACAGGCACCCAAAGGGTGGTGGGTGAGGTGGGCCGTGGGGTCACCATTTTGCCCCCAAACTGGCCAGGTGCCACATGTCCCCATGCCACCACCTCTTACCCGCCACACAGCCCTCGTGTGACAGTCTCACCATCGGTTTTGGGTGGGGAAGAGGAGGAGCTGGGTGGTGTGGACTCAGTGGGCACCAAAGCACCCATGGGTGCTGGCACCCCACTCAACCACCCATGCCACCTCTCCACCAGGATCCTGGGCATGTTCACCTCCCAGCAATGGAAACATCTCAGCAACGATTTCCTGAAGACCCAGCAGGAGAAGCGGCACAGTTGGTTCAAGACGAGCGGTACCATCAAGAAGTTCCGTGCTGGCCTCAGCATCTTCTCCCCCATCCCCAAGTAAGACCCCAACGGTGTCCCCAGGGGACCAGCCCTCTGTCCCCTGGGTGACTGGAGACCTGGCACCGTGCCTCAGTTTCCCCTCTCGCCCCTCGGACGCTGCTGCTCCCAACTGGAGCCCGAGGAGATGAAGGTTGCTCCCCAAAACCAGCCGAAGGGTGAATTCGGCGCCGGGTGACGGAGGAGCAGGGGACGGTGACAGAGCGGGGAGCTCAGGGGGGGCTCTGTGCTCACAGGTCTCCCAGCTTCCCCGTCATCCAAGACTCGGTGCTGAAGGGCAAACTGGGCATCCCCGAGGCTCGCGTCAACCGCCTGATGAACCGCTCCATCTCCTGCACGGTGAAGAACCCCAAGGTGGAGGTTTTCGGCTACCCGCCCCCCAGCACCCAGGCAGGTGTCGCCCCCTTCAACATCCTGGTGGGTGCCTCCCCGCCTCGGGGTTTGCTTTCCTTTCCCTTCCGGGATTCCCGAGGGCTGCCGCGGGGTCCGGCCGCTTGTTGTGGGGGTGGTGGGACCTCCTTGGGGTCATGGGACCTCCTCAGGGTTGTGGGACCTCCTCAGGGTGGTGGGACCTCCTTGGGGTCATGGGACCTCCTTGGGGTGGTGGGACCTCCTCGGGGTTGTGGGACCTCCTTGGAGTGGTGGGACCTCCTCGGGGTTATGGGACCTCCTTGGGGTCATGGGACCTCCTTAGGGTGGTGGGACCTCCTCGGGGTGGTGGGAGGGTTTGCTTTCCTTTCCCTTCCGGGATTCCCGGGGGCTGCCGCGGGGTCCGGCCGCTTGTTGTGGGGGTGGTGGGACCTCCTTGGGGTCATGGCACCTCCTTGGGGTGGTGGGACCTCCTTGGGGTCATGGGGCCTCCTCGGGGTGGTGGGACCTCCTTGGGGTCATGGGACCTCCTTGGGGTGTTGGGGCCTCTTCGGGGTTGTGGGGGATCTCCTGCAGGGCTTTGTCCCCTGCGCCTTGTCCCCAGCACCCTCGGGTGGGCAGGCTGGGCTGTGGGGTCCTGCAGGGTCTTGCTCCCCCTCTTGGTGCCACGTCCCCGGGAGGGTGTTGGGGTGCTGGGGGTGGCGCCGTGGCCGTGGCGGG